AGAGCTCTCCCAGCTGCGTAGCGGCTGTTGCTACAGAAGGGAGTGGAAGGTTGGTTGCTTCTCGGTGTCAGTCTTGTGTTGTCGTGGCTGCTGCTGCTTGTTCGGGGATGGAAGCCAGCACATTTCGAACGTTACAACTCGACTTTATATACAGAAACTTGTGTACATATTTACAAGACTTGACCGTCGGAACCGTCCCATGTTGCCTCGGCAGAGCAGATAGTGCAGAACACTCTTTGTTGCGACCAGACTCTCCCGCGAGGACTCGGAAGCCAGGTTCAAATACCTCGGTTGCCCCTCCCGATTCTCTTCACGGCCAACCAAAGCAATTTAGTCGGTTCATTGGACAAACAACACACTTGTTGCAGTCCCCTCCTCTCGCTCTCTTCTTCCCGCACTCGACTGCTCGGTCGGAAAGAGACGAAAGGACCGGCCTGCACCCAACGTTTCGCGGACTGTGCGAACGCACACAATGGTGGCGCCGTTCGGCTGCGGGCCTCCTGCATTACCGCGAGATGACTACGCTGTCCACCATGACAGCCGTCCCGCGGACTCTACTCCTGATGGATGGGCGGCTATGCACTGTCCTCCCGTCACCCGCCGGCAATCCGCAGTCCGGGGACCATTTAGCTGGTTGCTAGAAGCGGCGACTGACCGCGGTATTCTTGCCAGAAGGGGCGCGCTAACGCCGAGATTAGTCTCTCGAGAATAGGCTTTTTGGGAAGCGCGCCCTTTTGAGACCGAGAAGACTCTCTCCCGTGGCCTGCGACGCCAGACCTTACACTGCTCCTTAGCTGTCTCTGCTTTTTCGTACCCATGCTTCCTGCTCAAACTCCCACTCTTCCTCGCTGACCTTGCCCTCCCGTGTTGCCCTTGCTTCTGCGCTTGTAAACCCGCAGTGTCGGCACTTCAATAAAGGGAAAGAAAAGAAAGTCGTCCTTTGAGTCTCCCGTCAAGCAAGGCGTTCGTTCACTGTCTTCTGCTTGGGTGCCGCTTCAGTGGTCGCGACTGATTTCGAAGTACTGTGGCATTCAGTATTCCGAAGTACATAGCACTTAAATGATTTTACATTGAAACTGTTCTCAGTTGGTGTGGAATTTTTTAAAAGTTCGTTAAAGTGGTGCTCGTTCTACTGAGGTTTTACTGTATATTATCGATACTCGAAGGGACATCTACGCCGTATCGACTCGTATGATACACAAGAAAGCCCTAAAGATCTCTCGCCACATGGAGATTCCTTGGGCACAATTCAAGGCAAGTCGGGGATCGACTACTCGGTTTATGAACCACAACCAGCTCTGCATACGTCGCCGTACGATGATTTGTCAAAGGCTTCCAAGCGAGTACACAAGTAAGGTGATAAAGTTCTAAGACCTGTCCCAAATTAGCTATGCAGACAAGACTCCTGTATGGTTCGATGTGTCAGAGCACCACAGTAGACTTCAAGGGTGCGAAAAGTGTTACTGTGCCTGTGACCAGCGCAGAACGTCGAAGGTGCACTGTGATGCTGTGCGTGACGACAGACGGCAAGAAACTTCCGCGGTACATCTCTTTCGGGAGAGTCTTCCTCTTGAACACGAAGTTCCTTTAGGGCATCATTGTGCGTGCCCAAGAAAAGGGTTGGATGTGCGAGAAACTTGTTGTGGACTGGGTGAAGACTGTCTGGGCAAACAGACCTGGAGGCCTGCTACAGCGGAAGGCCCTCCTCGTTCTGGACAGTTTTAGTTGCCACTTGATGGACCGTGTCAAGAACAGACTTGCCATGACTCGTATAGACTTTTCAGTTATTCCTAAAGGACTGACGAGTGTGTTGCAGCCGCTCAACCTGTGTACAGGGGGGAGGCTACACTTGATAGGCAGCTTTATTTATGTATAGATCTACATGACATTTCCAGTTTGTATATTAAGATGTGCAGATTGTAAAAATGTAATTACTTTTTTCATAGTTCAAGTCGCCTCAGGTTTTTCCAAAGTCTTTTCCGAGATACTGCACAATCAATGTATCACCTGGGTCCTTTGTTTGGAGCCTAATTACCACCTAAGCAGGAAGCACCAAAACATTAGCGACAGTTTAGAAACTGTAGGATGTTTAAGGAGTGCAATATGTTATAAATCAATTAGCTGGGCCAATTTCAACAGGTAAAGGACATCAATGTTCACAGAAAAAAGCCACATTCACGTGTCACGCGTAGGACCCACTTAAAAAATATTTTGATCTGTACATTGCCTTCAAAATAGACATTGCATACTGTATGCATTTATTTCTGCCAAAAAAATTCTGCTGGTGGCTCGAATTGAACAGAAGTTATTCTCCCTCCAACTTGGCAAATGTGTTAAAAATCGGTTAAAAATACTTACAAACCTTATGAAAGTGCACCAGGGGCATAATCTGGATGCATCCAATCCTTATGCTTCTTGACCTGCTTTCTCAGACTTCGGAACGCTTCTCTCAATTTGTTTGAGGTTGCACTCTCACCACAGTACTGCTCTGTAGCCCTCGGAGATGTGCTGCTCAATATCGTGATGTCTAGCTGCTCTAGAATCGTAGAAAATGCAGAAGTTGCCAGTGTTGAAGCATAGCTCAGCGTCTACAACAGCAGCTTGCTCTGATAAAAGAGAAGCGTGCAGCTCCTTTGATACCATACTCCAAGTCTCGGATTGGAGGCTTTCGTGTGAATTTAGTCTTACCTTGCTAGCATCTTGCCTCGCTGCCGCCCCACTCAACTCCGAAAAGTGTTGAATTTTTCGCGCTGTTGCCGACACTGATGAAACACCCTCAAGCTTCGTGGGCGTCTCGCAGGCGTGCGTTGTGAACTTCACTGCATTGACCACATCAGCGTCTGCCCGCACACGGCCGGAGTCAACATTGCGTGCGTTGTCAGGGAGGCCCGTGCCTACGCACACTTCACCATTGCCGATAGCACTGGAGCAGTCATAATCCACAGAGTATCCGCTATCAGATGAAGCCATCTAGCATGCTCCTCCATTGATAAAATATTCAGTACATAGGTGACGAGCGTCCACGCCACGCACACACGAGAAACTGCCTTTGGTTACGTTAGCGTTATCAAACGGCATTGGTGCTTGCTCCCACGACACTGTAGTAGCACCATTGGGCTTCCGGCTCAGTTTTTCTTCTGCAAACGACCAATATAATGCTGCGATCAGTTTTTCGCTCTGCCGGGCATGGCAAGACGCACAAGCACGTTCGGGATTCGAATCGAAACATTTTTGCAAGGGCGATACCTTTTCAACATGGCGGCAGACACTGCCACAGTTTTGTTAGCCAATCTTGAAGTGCCATTTTGTCACGTGCGTGAAGCAACCAATGCAATCGTGCGCTGCACGTGATTTTGTCTTTGATTTGTTTTTTTTTTTTTTGCTTTTGTGAGGGGTACTTGCCTACTGGAAAGGGAAAAAAATGCGCGACCTTTCCAATGAGATAAAAATTGCACTGGGGGAGCACGTAATTTGCCTGCTGTCGGCGGTTGAAGTATAGCTAGTTTGCACTTCAATATAAAGGTCTGCTTGCACGAAGTTGCTGTCTTTATCGGTTATAACTTGAGAAATCGGAGAAGTTTAGAAGCCAAATTTTAGTTACAGGTGCTGAAGGGCATCGGGAATGCGTTAATGCGATTTTCGGGCAGATTTTCAACTTCTAGTGTTGCGTCCTCCCTTAACTGTCCATTTAAAGTAGAATTTCGCTGCTGCTATTCAGAATGCATGGCTAGGGGCAATCTTGATAAGACAACATGGGACAGCTGAAGAGGGCATCCCCAACAAGTTTGTGAGTGTATTTTGCGTGCATGGCGTGCCGTGTCATTGGAAGTTCTTGCAAAGAGGAGCAGCACTGAGGACGATTATCTCTGGGAGCATGCTGATGACGCAGAAACGAGTGCAATGAAAACGAGTGCAATGAGAGTGAAATGTAATCTTTAATAAAACCATTCTTGGCTAGTCACATTTGGGACTCTTTTACTCTGCTACTGTTGTGGAAACAATACATACCTTTCGCAAGTTGTCATCAGCGCGATTCGTGTTAGGGCCGCACCAAGCGATAATTTCGAAAAAAGTGTGGCCCTTACAAGAGTATATACGGTAAAATGCGTTCTAGCAGTAGCGACCTGGAATGAAGTGTCTATGCACCTTACACCGTTCCAGATTCAGATTTAAATATATGCATCCTACATCTTTGGTTTTCCACCTGCACTGGGGGACTGGCCTTGAGTCGGGTAGCCTTAGAAAAAGCATTTCAAAACTAGAAAAGATAATACATCTGCTCATTTTGCATAATGGAATCAATCGTTTTTAGATTTATTCTTGCAAAAATAACAAGGCATGCAACCACTTAGACATTTTTGTAGAAACGTTTCTTCCTTTTCCTATGCGGGAGAGATCGGCGCAATTGTTCAGGGATTGACGCAGACGAGGAAGAACTGGGTGAAAGGAATGCGGATCTGTTATTTAAACGAGTTTTATTTTTCTCTCGCACTAAAACATCGAATAGAACAGCTCCACGCTCTAAATTCCTACAATCTCATCTTCCCATATCTGCTGGTACTCTCATGTTGCTTGTGAGCAACAACCCATTTGTATCAAGATATCTTCGGTGTAACCAGTGGCCACACTAATCTGCATGCACATAAATGTTCTGCAATGCCTTCAGAGCCGTTCCAAGTGTAACAGATGTTGCAGTAGCTTCCTTCTCTGCTGTAGTCGAATACATTTCGTTCAGTGTGATCAGATTCTTTTCCCACCTGTCGGGCACACAAGCAATACTACAAAAACATATTTATATTTACGTATTTTTTAAAGCTCAAGGCGCTCGGTAGTGCTTGTCTTTTACCGCATATAGCCCCATTGTCGCGCAGCGAAATGTTTGCACAAAAAAGTATTTTTGAGGTTGTTGCCCGAGAGCAACAGCGCGCATCAAAGAGTTAAAGTGGCCATCTATCTTGTTGGCATGTTTTTCACCAGGTCTCGTATTGCTTTCTTCCCAGGCTGCCAACTACTTGGACATCAAGGGCCTGCTTGATGTCACCTGCAAGACGGTTGCCAATATGATCAAGGGCAAGACACCCGAGGAAATCCGTAAGCAGTTCAACATCAAAAATGACTTCACCCCCAGCGAGGAAGAGCAGGTACCTACAGTTTTCTTAGCCCAAGGGCGAGCTGACACGTAGCCATGCTGTTCAAGCTTCTATACATGTTGGATCAACGTTCCGATTTTCACTCTGCCTGTGAACACAGCTTTGACAATTTGACCTGTAGTGTCTTGAAAACCTGTGTATACAACATTAGCATTTTCAGAAATCTGTGGAGACCCACACCTGCCAAGTCTCTAGGATTGTCTAAGGGACTCCCGGATTTGGAGTTTCTTCTGTTTTCCGGGAAAAGGTTTTATGCGCAATCTGGCCGTATTGACAAAAGTGCATCTTAAACCGCTCCAGGTTTCCTGCGAAACCCACCGCATTTTCTTACGAGGTGCAGCAGTAACTCTGATGCGAGACTGAGGCAGATGTGTCTTTGCGACATTCCCCATCCAAATTCCACTGTGTTTATTGGGCCGAGATTCGAACTTTCATAACTCTTTTTCAAATTGTGGCGGGTATGAACTTTAGTACCAGAACTGGTGAATGAAGGCAGATAGCAGCGTTCCGAAAGCTTCGGAAATACACATATGACGAGCGCATACGCGGTCTTCTGCAACCACACGCACAGTCTTCTACAGTGCATATGGTTGTTTCCACAACCACTGTGGACGATACTGTCGTTCTCGGCGTAATCATTTATGACTAGGTAATTGACAGAACTCCGAGAGTTTGCGTGCGTCCAACGCTCGACCAGTCTAAATAACGCTACGCCGCTTACCGTTAGTGAGACGACTGTTATTCTGAAAATATTCCTTAAGTGAGAGAACGCAAAGCAGTATGGGTACGGATATAAAAAGAACTGTTAGTTAAGGAAACAGCTGCAGATGCTGAAAACACAGTAGCGGAGGCTCTGAAACTCGCGCACTTAGTGGATGAAGCAACTAATGCAGGTTGCAAATGTCTGACTGGGTAATTTTCGATATTAAAAGAGAGGGGTTCCTTAACAATTTTTTTTTTTTTTTCAATATCGAAAATTACCAAGCCGGAAAATTGCCAAGTCTGCTAGGTTGGCAAGTATAAGGCACAAGTCGCAGCTGCACGGCACCGCACCTGCATCTCTGTGTTCTGATATTTTGTTGATGGTTGATACCTGCTATTGTTGGCCTGCTACTGCAACTGTGCAGTTCGTTCTGCCTCTTGTGTGGTTTTTACAAAAGCCCATGGGAGAATCTTGCGATTGATAAGAAAGAAAATGGCTCATAGGACACACCTTGAATTTTGGAAATTTTATTCTCGCTTGGGTCAGCTACATTTTGACTGCACTTTCACCATTTTTTCCGTGCTCTGCCGATTTTCTTCTAACAGCACTCAAATGTGTATGCTGGTCTTATTGATATGCGGAATCTACAGTAGTTCAGACTTATAATGGAAGCTATTTATTTGCCAGCCGAAATCGTGCCCCACCATGGTGGTCTAGTGGCTAAAATACTCTGCTGCTGACGCGCAGGTCGCAGGGTCGAAGCCCGGCTGCAGCGGCTGCATTTTCGATGTAGGTGAAAATTCTGTAAGCGCGTTGCTCAGATTTGTGTGCTCAACAAACGGATTTGTCATGACGCACAGGGTGCAGATATCGCGGATCCTAAGCCTAGCACATCACGCATGCACTGGGATGTATGCTGGATGCTCGGCAAAGTAGTTTGCGTGAAAATCGGAGGCCATCTGCCAGCAGCACCACGAGTACCACTATTCGGGCCTGGTTATAGCTTCGTTTCGTGTCAGCGGAGGCATTTCCTGAAGCAACTGGTCGGGAGTCTCGAAGCACAGTGTCTGCAACCTAGTGCGAGGTGTCGCTGGTGGACCAAGTTGACGTCGAAATGGAAAACAAGTTTTCTACAATGCATGGCCCTGTATGGTCTGCTTAGCAGTTCTGTGCCCACAGTGCAAGGCACTGGGACTCCGGTTAAAACACGGAACTAAGCATGAGTTAGCGTACCTGCACTTTTGCAGTGTGAATGCGGGAAAATGCATGGGCATCGTCGCCAATGGAAGAAAAAAGCTAGTCTTCTGAAGTTTACAATTTGGCCTTGCAAGCTATAAAAGCAATTAGAAAAGGATCAACTGCACCCTTCAATTTTGAATCTCTGGTGAAGGTCTTGCGTAGGGGAATTCATCACAAGATTTCTCAAGGGAGACTTTCGGCCTGCTGGCGCAGCAGTCGCAAAAAATTCGTTTTCTGACACCGCGGCAGCCGATCGCGAATGTACCACCAAATGGAGAGCATGCCGCGATGATACAAGACTGGACGTAGACACGAAGTCGCACATCCCTCATCAGCATGGGCTTTGTCATTGAATTCTACACCGAACTAGGGCTTGGCAATGTTGCTCTGTCAAATTAGTCCTGGAGTCGCTTAAAGGAAGTGCATGTTTGGCCCAAGTTGCCCCCTTATTTTGGCAAACGGAAGGCAAGGCAGTTGTTGTACTGCTTCGGCACTTTCTAGAAAAAATTATCTGCACTGCAAGAGTATTGTTTGCGATGGTTACAGCCACACTTTTCTAGCTTTGTCGGGATCAGGCTTAGGTTTTATACCTCTGAAAACAAAATTGTATCAACCGTGTTAACAATAGAATGGACACAGCCCTGTGTGCCATCTTCACCAAGAGCAAGAAAAACCAACCTTCAGCAGAAGTTTCTTCGCAATGGATATAATGGAGCATCCTTCGTCCACAATGGGAATCAACTGATCATTTTGGTGTACATCAATTCAATATGTTATAGCGTGCGACATTTTACGTCTCGTCACGGCTGTGGTTATTCAAAACTTGCTCATTGTGCTTGCCGGGAGCCCCCTGCCAACATGCGCATGGGTGCGTCTCCCTGCCTCCCCTTTCCTTGATAACTAGCGGACTTGCCCGTGCAGCAACTCATCAGCCGCGCTCCCATCTCCTATAGAACTCTTTGACCTGCCCGTGCATCTTACTTTCTCCCCTTTAGCTCTGCGCTGGGACGGCGGAGATTGTGGGTGGCTATATTCATTGTCGATCGCTGTGAAAGAACAGCACAACGTCTATAGTTTCCGCCGCCAGACACAAGATAGACAACAGGGGCGGCAAATGTAAGCACAAAAATATAACAATTGAGCAGAAGTCTGCAACGTTGAAAGCCGTTGAGTTTGGCGTCAAGAAAAAAAAAATTGTCGAAGATTTCGGCAATGTCGCCAAGAAGCATGCCGCGGGCGACCAGGCCCAAACTTTGTGGGACACTCTTCTTGATGTTGGTGCTGATGCTTGCGCATTGACAATGAAAGAGTTGTCAGATTAGGAAATTGTGTGCGTGGCGACGGGGCATGAGGACTGTGACGAATGTATACACTTCGTAGCCTAATGTTTGTGAACCTGAAGTACCAACACCCGCGTAAGCACTGGATGCAACAGACCTGCTGCTCTGCTTCTTGGGTGCTTACGATGACGAGGACGGTCTCGAAATAGCTGCAGAGTCTGAAAAAGTGGACATCCGAGAGAAGCCGGTAAAAGTCGTCACTATTTTTCTTCAAAGGGATCTGCCAGCTGATGCGCTACATTTGGTGGCAATACAGTGCATTGTTCTTTATCATTTTGCTAGTTTTCTGCCTTCCGACGGCAGTTCTCTGCGCGGTAGGCTGCTGGGATATTCGGTAGAGAGTACAATCTCTCTAGGTGGCTAATTGTCAGTGAAAATGGATATTGGCTATAACGAACTAATGGTTATACCAAAGTAATTGCGACTCCTCCAACTTCGTGATAATGAGGTTTGACTGTATTTGTGGAAAAGGTGGCATCTCGCATAATTAAATGCAGTGATTGATAAACCATTATGGCCAAGCCCTAAGAGAGCATGCTAAAGTGAAAAATATGCAGCGAGCGGTCATTGTTCAATTTACCACACCACCTCGACTGACCATGATCCAAACCACGGACTTTGCCCACCAGATCCTGATAGCTGGTTCAGACACCGGGCTGCAGAAGCTGAAGGTAATCCATAGGCAGCCCATAAATACTACCTGGGACCACGCGTTGCTGCTGCCGGTGTATCGGTCTTTCGGATCTATTGCTTCTTGTGCGGTCTCTGGGCAAAAAAAAAAAAAAAATCTGAATACGGCCTGCAGCCTGCACTCGGTCAGTTACTTGGTCCGTTCAGCCCAAACAAGAGCATGCTTCACCCATTATCCGCAAGTATACACCAGGAAAGCGTCTACACCCAGCTTTGCGCATCAGTCTTCAACCTGCATGCCATTCACTGTACAGGAGCTGAGATTCCATGCGGGGGGAAAAGGCTGCAAAAACTCTCCAAGTTAAAGGTCAGGTGGCCAAGTGACGCCGCTGAGGGACACGAAGGACAACTCTGGAGCCTTAGGCTTTTATAAATGTTTGGCCAGGGTTTCTTGTTTGTAGTGGAAGTGTGCTCACTGAAGTAGCAGTGAAGAAAAAGAATGTTTAGTTTTAAAAATACCAATTTCTAAAATGCAGCCCCCTTCAGCATACATTCACTGGGGCACAGTGTTTCCCAACTTTTTGTCATTTTTACTCTTCAGCCGCTCCAAGAGGTTCAATAATGAAATTTGTCTCTCGGGAAGTTTTCCTGATAACACTGTAAATTTTACATGACGGCATTCAGAGGTCATTAGTGTCTGTGCCAATTTTCCTGCACATCTAACAAGACATGTCCCCCTTAACTTCATTGGGGCAGACTGGTCTTTGGGACCAAAGAGTGACAAAATAATTCATTTTTTAAGATTGACCTATTTGGTTTTTGCCAGTATTTTTCTCTACAAAAAAGTTATCACTTCCTGGTGTGTGAAAATTTGCAATGTCATTGTCTAGATTCTTGGTGCTGTTAACATTCAAAATCTGCAAAAAATGATCAATAGACACCTGTATGTGTGTAGAATGCAAGTACGGGAGCAGAATTTAGAGCACAAGCCTTTTTAATTGCTCATCGAAATTGTAACACAATTCCAACTGCTTTTGAAAATAGAAGGTTCATTTTGTTGTAAAATAACCAAGAAAGGTCTAAAAACAATAAATCTTGCATACTTTCAATATATAATCATTAGTCTATGTTTGGCATATCTTAAATATCACTTTCAATTACGCACTTTTTTTTATGGTGGCCTTAAACAATAGGGAATGAACTCAAGTTATTCCAGGAACAATGAGTTAAAGGAAAACTAAATAAATGTTTGAAATCAGCACGAAAACTGCATAATCCTGTACAGTTTGATCAAGATCATTGAAGTAGACAAAAAGGTGTCTAGGACCAGTCTGCCCTCTTGATCAACAATGCAGAAACAGTCACGACGGTACAAATAGTTAGGCACTTGGAATTCATTGTTGGAGCTCCGGTAGCGTTGTGCATTTGCACAAAGAGGGAGTCTGGGCTAAGTCAAAGGAGGGGGAAAAAATAGATAGAGAAAGCTTTGTTTTTTTTTTTTTTTTTTTTTTTTTTTTTTTTTTTTTTTTTTTTTGAGAGGCAGCTTAACGAAGTGTTAGCACTCCTTCTGTTTTAGTTTTGCGCAGTGAAGTTGAGCTCCTGGATTGTGGCATTTAACTTTCGGTCAGTTTCTTTTTCTTTTTTTTTTTTCGAAGTCTTTCTTGTTTCACATAGCTGTCTAAACAGTATTGCAAATCATTATCGGTGGTTTTCGAATCTGTGGAGCTGTTGATTTGTAGCTTTTCTACATGCGGATTAGATTTTTATTGTGGTTAAGGCTGCTTGAGGTAAATCGTGCTACTGATGCTACTTTATAGAAACAAAAGTGGCTTGTCTTGGTGCCGGGGCTACTATATTGTTGTACATTCATATGGTTTCCACACTTGTGAGACGCTTAGTACCTACATTTTCCTTGCGTATGTGTGGCAGTTTCTTGCCTAAAGCACTTGCATAGCAGTTCGGGGTGGAAGTGCTGCACCGAAGCTGCTCCCATACTGTTCTTAGTGCTTGATGTGCAGTCATCTTGGTGTCGAGCTCAAGCGAGCTCCTATCATCTGTGCTTGAGGGGCCATTGACAGCATACCTAGCTCATTGGTTGATGTTATCGCATGCACCTATCATGCAACAGAAATGGCTGGTTGTTTTCTTTGCCTCGGCTACATTCGCCGCAACTGCTTGTGCACGCTTGTTCACATGCTTGAAAGTTCACTCTTTCACGAGACCGCCACAAGCTTATAGATCAAATGTACGCCATTTTAAGTTTTGGACACACGAGTAAGCTTCTTTCAAATAGATGCATGTTAAGTACCCCAGGTGGTCAAAATTTCTGGAGCCAATCCACTATGGCATCTCTCATAATCATATGGTAGTTTTCAGACGTTAAACCTCACATATCAAACTTCTTTCAAATTGTGTGTCCAAAAATGCATTGGCCAAGCTGTCTCCACTTCTGCGCAGCAGCACATTTTAAATGTCTGCTTTACTCACAATGGTGCCTGCAGACTTTCATGCAGTGCTGTGGCTGACGTAAGCAGCTTCCGTAGTTTTTACTACGGAAGCTGTGGCACTTAATTTGTGCTCATTCGTACTGTTGTGACCAATATCCCCAAATGACCTTCTTCCATTTACAAAAACACGTGCCTCTTTGTTTTCCTCCTCGGAATGACATATGTCGCCACACATTCAACGATATGCAAGATGTCTTGGTGTTGCTGGATGTGTAATTGTTGCCTTTCTTCCATTTCAGGTGCGCAAGGAAAATGAGTGGTGTGAAGAAAAATGAGCGTTTCTGTGATAGTGGTTCCTGTGAACTGGCGTTTGCACATGAGGGCCTTTTTTTTCCCCCCTTCACACTACCACCCCCTACCAGCCAACACATTCAGTTCAGCAGCTTGGGCCACTTTTTTTCCCCTTTTTTCAAAGAAATTGTGCGCTCGCTGCAAAAGACTTGCAGAATGTTTTTCAGGTTTTTTAGTTTTTCTCGGAGTTATGTGTTGGCTTTTATTAAAGTGAAGTTTCAACCCTCATTCGTTGCTTCCCTGGGCGAGTTGTAGTTCCTGATGCATGTCCACTGCTCTAGTAACTACTCTCCCTGTCGAGAGACAAGATGCTCTCTCCCTCGCCTCTGAATTCTAGCGTAGCAGTGTGTGCAGCCTGCTTTGTATAATGTAAAGGATTTGTAGGCCCTTTCAGCTTGTACGCTCGGGTTTGAGTTCTGTGGACGTCCAAATAAAACAAATATATCATTCTGGACTGTGCACTTCATGGCTTATGCAGGGGGAGACACTACTTCTATTCACCAAGGTCTCGTAGTACGTACATTGTGCATTAGGACTTCCAATCACTCTAGCAACCTTGCCTGCTGCGAAGTGTTAAAAATATTCAAACAATGGGCATTCAATGCAAGAGGGGCAAACTCTGGAACTAGTTCAAGCTCGTCCCAGAGCTGTCCTAGACTAACTTGATGAATCGGTTCTGCAGTGCTCAGCCATTTCGAATAGCATTTTCATGCTAGGTTCCACATGCATACATTACCAAGTTATATGTAAACTGGTTGCGTAATTTCCACAGAAGCCCATGGATCAAGTAGTCGGCCGTTCGTTGCCATCTATGTGAAGAGGACAACCAAAAGCAAAAGTTGAAAAACAATATATAATGTCGGAAGTGGTATAACCTACTTGGCGTGAAACTGAAGTTTTTCTCATCTACGCTGACCTGTTATGTGCATTTATAAGATTTTGTTGCGCTTTAATTGTGTCTCCGATTGCATGCGAGAGAAAAAAATACAAAAGTAGCAGATTGAGGAAGCAGTTGTTTTAGTAGCCAAGTGACATACTTGCAATATGCACAAGAAAGTGTTCACGAGTATAATACCATAATAGTTTGAAAACTCTCATTGCCCGATCGTTGAAAACCACTGCAACGAGGTGGCAGTTCCGAAAATATAGCTTTCGCAGCTGTAGAGTACAGAGTCTTGTTGCTTAGCCTGTCGCATTCAGTCGCCACAAGCGAGGGCACGCCAGCGAAAGCAGTCTGGAGTTGTAGAAGCAGCTATCTACTCATTCTGTGAATTCGTGAGCTATGAATGCACATTAAATTAAGTAACCCGCTGAACATATGTACTAAACCACCTCGGGGAAAACTGAGTGATACTTTGTTGACCTGGTAATGTGCAGAGCCACACACTTCAAACTAAACATGCACTCTGATAGCACATTGCCCAGATACGCCCCCAATCTGTTGGACTTCCTGCATAGTCCTGCTATTTCTGAAACAAAACAAAAAAAATGGGTGCTCGACCACATACCAAAGTCAAGCTTTTTAAAGTAATCTACTAATTTTTGTCAAAAAATTTGGAACTGTTGACAATAAACAATTATTTTATTGTTTTTGCTATTCGACCCCCCTCTCACCTAGGCCTGCTTGAATCGTCACGTGAGTGTCTGTCTTGATAGGTTTAAGACCACTTTTTGTTCAGACTTTTGAGACTTATTTAGATTGACCTTGTACCTTACTTTCAAATGAGTGAAGTACCAAGACTCGAGGAATGAGTGTTGGGTCCTCGGTTTTTCACTTGTGTGGTAAATACATGCATTTGGAGGCCTGCTATATGGATGAATGCTAAACAGATTGGTAATGGGAGCAAGCAAAGATTGTTGTACCAAAAGTGTTGGCGTGCATGCGTCAATGCCAGAGCCATAAAATACCAGCCTGTCTCAGCATTGAGGATGTGGCTTTGCATTAGCGTTCACTAGTCGGGTATTTTTGTGCCCTTCGCTACACTGTACACACACACACACACATATATACATATATATATATATATATATACAAAGTGGTTGTTGCTAACAAAACGGCGCAACTTCCAGTCCTGAACGTCTCTACGTCGACCCAAGTTCTTCCCGAAGGCATCACCTTAGCGGATCTTTCCACCCTTGATGAATGTTGGATTTGTTCTTTTACCCCTGACACTAAGACCGTGGCGAAGCCTGTCGTCACCTCGCAATATAAGAAGTTCCTCGACAAAATGATATCCAGCGACCTCTTACCTTCCTAAGTTGCAGCGCTCCGGAGTGTTCTATTTTCTTACCTGGATATCTTTGACGTCGACGACCGCACAAGTGCCGTAACCCGCCACATCGACACCAGCGACGCCTGTCCACTCCACAAACGCCCTTATCGCGTGTCACATGCTGAGTGCCTAGTTATACAGACGGAGGTAAAAAAAATGCTGAGGATCCCCTGTGGTCTTAGTTCAAAAGAAGGACAATCCCTAGCGCTTTTGCGTCGACTATCGCGACCTGAATTGGATCACCAAGAAGGACATTTATCCTCTACCCTGAATCAATGTTGCGTTCGACTGCCTACACGGCACCAACTATTTTTCGTCCCTTGACCTTCGATACGGATACTGGCAAATTTCGATCGACGACCGCGAGAACACAGCACTCATCACAACCGACGGCCTTTACCAATTCAAGGTCATGCCTTTTGGGTTGTTCAATGTTCCAGCTATTTTTGAACGTATGATGGACTTCAAATGGTCCACAAAGGCTCTATATGCCGTTAGCAAGAACTGCTGTCGGTGAATAAATCTTCCCCTTAACATCTTTTGGTGGACGGTGCGGAGTCTTTACACAACCCGGCTCTGGAACTCCGCAGTGGACGCCAGGTTTGTCCAGCCGCGATGCCTGAAACCGGCACTCAGGCCTCACCATCTGCGTCGGCTCCATCACGTGTAATTCCCCCCCCCCCCCCCCCCCCCCCCCCATCTTCTTGACCCTAACATGTTTTCCGGGATTGACAGCACGGATGTCGAAGAATGGCTCTCATTATTCGAGCGCGTCAGCAAGCACAACAGGTGGGACGAGACGCTTATGCTGGCAAATATTCTATTCTACCTAGGGGTACAGCACGCGCCTGGTATGAGACGCATGAAGAATTAACCAGCTGGGACACATGCAAGCAAAAGCTTCGTGACTTGTTCGGTCGGTCAGTTGCTCATCAGATGGCAGCCAGGCAGAAACTCGCGTCGCGTGTTCAATCATCGACGGAGTCGTACATCCAAGGCGTACTGGCACTGTGCCGGAAGACTGACAAAAACATGTCCGAGGCGGATAAGATCAGCAATGTGTTGACAGGCATTGCTGATGATGCTTTCAACACACTAATGTGTAAGAACTGTACCACTGTCGACTCCATCATAGCTGAATGCCCACGATTTGAACAAGCTAAAAGCAGGTGAATAACCCATCATTTCACGAGACTACCAAACACCGCTGCGACTTCGTCTTGCGAGGATTATGCAGCGCCCCGTTCACTTGCGCCTCCTGCCAATATCACAAGGATTGTTCGCCAGGAGCTGGAGGCCGTGGCACCCGCTTCCTATTAGCCCCCTGTGCAAGACAACTGGGCAACAGCCTCGCTTATTCAAGCCGTCGTACGCCAGGAGTTTGCTAACCTGGGCGTCCAGGTTCCCCAGCCTGCCAGGATCATGTCGCAGCCCATGAGCACTGTCGACCACAACGCTGACCACCACTGTGCTCCACTTGTCGCTGCGGCAGCGTCGACTTCTCGGTTTCCACCACGCTACCGAAATCCATCTGAGTGGCGCACGCACGATGATCGACCCATCTGCTTTTCTTGCTCTCGAGTTGGGCACATCGCCCGCCATTGCCGCAACCGGTGCTATTTCCAGCCAAGCTTTCCTAATCTTAGCCGCCGTCAGGACCGTGGACACTATTCGCAACCTGTTTTTCCGGATGACCATCTTCAGGACTCTTCTCCTCGCCGTTCATCTCTACGTTCCGAACCGTCCTGACGTCGTCGTCCAAAAAAACTGCTCTAGCCGCTCGCCGTCGCGCTCCCCTCAACGCCGCCGCTCTCCGTCACCGGCTTATTCTGGAGCTTCCCCCGTTGGTTTGCATGACTGCGCTCTTTAAGCCGTTAGTAAGACCTGCTATCGGTGAATAAATCGTCCCGTATAAATATATATATATATAATGAAGATATGGGATATAGCACAATGAGTGCGTTGTCAACAGGGATAAATATATTTTCCAGCAGTTTCGGGAGGGGTCCTCCTCCTTCAGGGGATGAGTTAGACTAACATAGACATTCAAACTTCGTTGTTGCCGCGTCTCTCTCGTCTTGAAAGATGTTTGCGAGAGTGAGAAAACTAAAGAAACAAACAAAAAAGAAAACACTGAGCACGAAACCCAACTGTGCACATACAAATCTCGGTGTAAGTGCACGTCTGGTTCTCATCCTGTGCTGGCCAGGGAGAGAGAGAAACAACTTCTAAGAAACAACTTCACCCCCTCCGCTCGCTGTGTGGCCCGGAGCTGTACTTTTAGGCTCGTATCTCGGAGTACTCTTTCCCATGCCTCGGATGAGGGAGTGGTCAGGAGATCAGGCGGGGGTGGATCCTCGCTGCAGTCCCATAGTATATGAGAGACGGAGGCGACGGAGCTACATTTTGAGCAATGCGGTCTGAACATATCGGGGTAAATGTGTGTGTATACCTATGGGCACGGCAATGAATTCGTTTGGAGGCGGCGCCATGTGATTTCTTGTGGTTTCGTGAGTTTGTGATGCGGCGGTGGTTTTGTTCGACGTGCGAGGCGATAGTGCTGAGCAACTTCGTGATAGGATTTGAGGGGCTCGCGGTAGTTCTCAGGGTTCGTGGCGGGGCGCACCGCTCGGTTCACGAATTCTCGAGCTTGTCGGTGGGAGGCCTCGTTCACCGGGTATCCCGCGTGCGCCGGCACCCAGATAAGAGATATGAGAGGCGGATCCTCTTCTAGGTAGGCGAGGGACTCAAAGAGCCGTAAGGTACCGGGAGCAACGGTACTGCGAGCGAAATCGGGGATAGCGGTTTTCGAGTCGCTGAGGATTGTAGTGAACCCGGAGGACTCCGCGAGAGCTATGGCCGCTTCCTCGGCTTCGACGGGGTGGAGGGCATGGCCAGAGCCTGCTACTCGCAAGATTGCGTTGGTGTTGAGGGCTGTGCGAGTTGTTATTACGCTAAGTGCGTACGCGCTTGGTTGGGAGGGCTATGGGCCGCGTCCACGAAGGCCACATCGTGCCGCGAGGAGTAGTCGTCGTGTAAGGCTTGGGCTCGTGCTCGCCAGTTCTCGACGTGTGCCGGGCCACCCAAGATTGTCGCCGCAGTGGCGGAAGGCGCGCTCGTAGGGAAGAGTTTCCGCTTAATGGGCCAGTCCGCTCTTCACCTTTCATCTTCGCCCGTTTCC